CCATTGGAATCTCCTTTCTCTGCTGATCTTTGGCAATCTGCAAAACTTAATTTGCCAAATTTGCTAGTAAGTTGGATTATTTCATCTGATAACTGTCTTTTGGTTGACATTTTAATGCAAGAAAGATTTTTCGGTGAGTAAGAATTTTTCGTTGAAATTATTTAAATTTAGTAAATAAGATATCCTAAAAAATTTGGGTTGTTAATGTAATTAATATATCTAAAAAAAAAAATTCTGCATATTAACCTGGTCACAAATAAATAATTTTATCTGTGGGGCTTAGACTTGCATTTGTGTGCCTTTAAATGCAGCAAAAAATTTTTTTTTGTACAAAATATGATACGCACAAAATAGATTGATTATTCAAAAAAGTACGATCATCCTTACAGTATGATGATAAAGAATAAAAAAAGTACAAGTGTCGAATAAACAGGTTTTTACTTTACGTCTATATGCTTTTTTTTTTTTTAAAAAAAAAAGTCTATATACTTGATTACATTTCACATGCATCCTGTAAGAAATTTTATCGTTATCCATTATTTTTCCATATTTATTGTGAATCTGTAACATGATCGACAAAATCTAGACAAGCCGAATAATCTCCAGGATTTAAGGTTATAAATTCCATGAATATGCAACATTTACGGGAAAAAAAACATGGAATACGTATGAAACACGTATCGACTTTTTTAGTACATAAGATCAAAGTCGGTACTATAACAATAAATGTTCTATCTTTAGAAGAAAAAAGTTCACACATACGTACGTACGTACGTAAGATTACACGTTCCTATAAAAAGTTTGCCTGATTTTTGCTTAATTGTTGTAAGTATTATTCAAACAAATGTTCGGAATAGGCCCACTATAGGTATAAAAACAGGACAAAATCCGTATGTTTAACTTAAAAAAAGTGTACGGATTTTGTCATGTTTTATACCTATATTGGGCCCATTCCGAGCATTTGCTGAATGATGATTCTACCTTGAAATCCCAAAAGGTAGATTTTCGAAAAAGACATAATATCGACAAAGTTAGCCAGCATTAGTATAATGTTGGCCAATTAGTTGGTATTATGTCTTTCGGGAAGATGTGACCTCTGCAGATCATGATGTCATGTAAAATCACGGGAAATTAAAATATAACTGATCAATATCAATAGATAATCTAGAATCTCCAAAATTTCCCAACTATATCACAAAATTCATGAGGTCACACTCATTAGGAGGACATTCGTTTGATTGGCTGATGTTAATCAATTGCCCGGATAACTTATTTATACACTTTAAAGTACTTTTTGGGATCACTAACAAAATATTACTGCAAAAGCCATTTTTCTCTTCTTTCGATAGAACATCTATATTCACTATGTAAAAATAAACAGTAATAATCAGTATTCCCACGAGCCTTATTTAGAAGGCAAAATATGCCTACCGCTTATTGGACCATATCAAATTATACTGTAGAGTGAAGATAACCAGAAACGTTTTCGTCTAAACTATTTATTACGTTAGATTTAAATAAACTTTTATTTCTAACTGTTTAATTTCAATAAGTACAATCTCTTTAGCAAAGAAGATCCGGGTTTAATATTTAAATTTGGTCGGTTCTTGTAGTGTGTTTGAGTTTGTCAACCGTAAATTAATAGTTAAAGTTTTATTTATATCTTATATGGGTATGTTCTTTAATAGTTTGAGTTTATTAGTAATAAATGCTATATTCATCCATTTTACGCTCTATCTATTCTCTACGTATAAATAATAAATTCTTTCGTGTGTATTTATTAGTTTCTTTATACAAAGCTTCTTTCGTTTTCTAATACTGTAATAATTAAAAATTATGTATTTATTTGATCTACAAAATTAACCAAACATACGAATGTCTTCCTATGAGGGCAAAGTATGGAACTAACATATTGACCAATAAAAAAAAAATTTTTTAAATTTCTAATCTATATAAAAAAACACGTCAGATCTATTTCCTCATCTAACCTATTTGAACACACCCCCTTAGACATAGAAATCCAAGCACCGTAATTTGAAAAGCGATACAATAATATTTTGAAATTGTTTTTTTTAACCTTTTTTATCAGGATTTGGAGATTTGTGCTATTCCAGGATTTTGGTATTTCGGGATTTTGTTTATCAGGATTATTTACTGTTGGGATTATGAGCCTCTGCTATTGAACCAAGCCCATACCATTAAGTCCGACGTGTAACTTATGCTACGCCCAAGCTAACTTATTATGAATTAACATCGCTCACTTCAAATCCTGGGCGTAACAATGCTTGTATACTTGACCGTTTTATTGCTAAGATATTATATATTTGGCAAAAAGATAAGTTTAATAAACAAATTAGTGAAAAAAATGATATAAGCCAATTGAGTTTATTAATTATTATAAAATAGTTAAAAACTTTATAAATTACTGTAAATTAAATTTAATATATACGGTATATATTAACATATAATTCGCAAAATTATTATATTAGGGGATTTCAGAATTAACTTATTTCGAAAATAAGTGAGAGTTAAAATATCGTATTTTCTGTTTTAAAAATCATTAATTCTGAAACCCCCTATTATTTATTAAAATTGGATCGAAAAATAAATAATATTGAGTAGAATAGGTTTTTGAAATATACACAAGTAAATAGAATTCAATTAATAGGAGGGCTTCAGAGTTAACTTGTTTCAAAAATAAGTGGGAAATAAGTGGGAGTTTAAAAGATTCTATTTCTGGGTTAAAATTCCGCATCAATAATTAAATGCGAAGCCGATGATAAAAATTTGCTTTTTTGATTAAAACCCCCTAAAGATTTTAGAATAAGGATTTAATCGTCGAATCTATTACTATACTACATGAATCTATCTATATTCCAATCATGCACAGTAATCTGCTGGTAAGCATAAACTATCTTTGATTGTTTATTTAATGTATATATTGCAATATGAATAATTGTATTTCTCGAACGATTTTAATCATTTTACATTATGATTATAGTGCTTTTATGCTTATATGATAAAGTTTGATACTGTAGTTTATCAGTGCTTTTATGTTTATGTAAATAAGAACTTGATAGTTTATACAACTTTTAATCCTGCAAAATTTGTGGCTAAAGTACGAATTTACGAGTTTGTAAATACGTGAGTTGATAAAAAAAAAACATTATGTACATACAATATAAATAATTTATTTAATACTCTTCCTTATCATTATACTATATCTAAACGAGACAACTATTACTTTTTGAAAAATAGAAATAAACTAATTACCTACGTGCACTAATTAATTACCTATTCTTAAAAAGAGCAATTATTTCTTTATAAAGTAATGGGAGGTATATAATGGCGCAGATGGGTAATGTGGCGCATTAAAATTCAGGAAAACAAAGATTATTGGAAATGTCATTTTTTAGATAGCTTCAAATTTTGATACGATTTGGTTAATTTTCATTAATCAACTTTTGCGTTATTCATCTTGTGCAAAAATTTAGTTTTTGTATCAAAATGTATAACACAAAGAACACGAAGTTTGTTTAATAAAAGTTAAGATATCTAAAAAAAACGACATTTCCAATAACTTTACTAAGAGGGTGAAATCCCCAATTCGCTTAATAAAAAATCGTGTTTTGTATTGAATAATTATTTGCTAAATGTTTATAATGTATTATACAAGGAATATCGATATACTGCATTATATAATACAGTAAATCAGCCTCCCGATTTAAAATTTTGGAGTAATAAAATAACACGTATTTTATTATCAAAGTTTTTTTTAAAAAAAAAAATTTAATAATTAAAGTACATTGATAAAAGTACAAGTTTACAAAATTTGTAAATGTTCAACTCTTTTGAAAAAATTTTATTACCAGTTGTTCTTAACTGCTGCGCCATTATACCTCCCGTTACCTTATATTTTAATATGTTTTATCTGGTTTTATTGTTTATCCGGAACTTTTATAACTTTTGTCTCATGTTTGAGACGTTAGAGGCATCATGCCACCACGCTAGCCTCATTAAAACCAGCTTCAATGAACATATTTATTGTTTATTATTTGTTTGTATATATTCCTAAAAAAAAAAAAAAAAAATTATTTGAATAATAATTATTAAAAACAGTATAAATATTTTAATTTTATTTTGAAATTATTCATTTTCTCATCCTTCAAAATCGTAAAAAATTTTCATCCTAATAAACATCATATTCTTATTATTAATCATGAGTACATCTCAAGAATTAAATTATGAACTTGAGAAATTGAGAAAACGTTATTATGTACCTAGTAAAGAAATTGATAACTTAGAACGTTTAGTATATACAAAATCTATTAATCAAATATATGAAATACCTACTAATGAACTTGAAAAGTATAAAATACCTTATGAAGAATTTGAGAAATTTAAACGAAAGTATGAAATATCTGATGATGAACTTAAAAAATTGCAAAAGTATGAAGTAACTGATAAAGATTTTGAAAATTTGAAACAAACGTATAAAACATTTGGTGAAGAACTTGAGAAACTGAAACAAAGTCATAAATTATCAGGAGATGAGCTTGAGAAATTGAAATCAACGTATGAAATCCCAGGTGAAGAACTTGATAAATTGAAAATACCTAATGAAGTACTTGAGAATTATATATTACCTGATAAAGAACTTGATAAATTGAAACAAAAGTATGATATATCTTATGATGCACACGAGAAATTGCACCTGAAACAATTGTATAGAATATCTAGTGAAGAATTTGAGATTTTGAAACAAAAACATAAAATATCAGATGATAGTGAGGAATTAAAATCAACGTATGAAATATCTGGTGAAGAACTCGAGAAATTGAAACAAAGTCATAAAACATCAGATGATATTCTTAAGGAACTAAAATTAACGTATAAAATATCTGAGGAAGAATTTAAGAATTGGAACATACCTGATAATGAACTTAAGAAGTATAAAATACCTAATGAAGAACTTGTGAAATTGAAATTAAAACAAGAAATATCTAAAGAACTCAAGTATTTGCAAAAGTATGTAATTTCTAATGATGACATTGAAGAATTGGAAGATAAATATAAAACATCTGATTATGAATTTAAAAAATTGGAAAAATTTAAACAAATTTACAAAATATCAGATATTAAGAAGTTGGAATCAACATTTGAGGTATCAGGAGATAAACTTGAGAAATTTAAAATACCTAATGAAGAACTTAAAAAATTGAATCAAAAATATGAACTATCAAATGACGAACTTAATAAATTAAAACTAAAGTATGAAATATCAGATAATGAACTTGATACATTAAAAAAAAAACATAATATATCTGATGATGATTTTAATAAATTGAAAACAACGTATGGAGTATTTGATTATGAATTTATGAAACTAGAACGAATGCAAGAACTTAAAAAATTGAAAACTGCTCTTGATGAATGGAAAAACACCCGGTATAAGGCTTATAGTCGTTCAATTCTTTGTCTTATTATTAGTTCAATGGGGCTTGTAATTAGTATTTTTCTTTTATTTTCATACCAAAGTGTGATTGAGTCAGGTATTACGAATATCGTTTCAGGAATTTATGCAGCAGGAAGCTTAACCATACTGATTACAAATCTGAAAACTCTTAATGACCTTTATACTGGAGACAACAAATCAGGCAAATCAGATAAATCAGATATTAAGGAAGAGGAAATTTCCGATGATATTATTAAAAGATCTCTAAAAAATCATCCTCATAGTCTTTATCGAAAGATAGATTTTGTGGAAACAGTTAGAGATAATATAAGTTATTTATTGACCGTGCAGACTATAATTGCTATTATAACATCAGTTATTTTATTTATTACATCCATTATTGCTATTTTATACTGGCTTTATGGGTCTGATGAATTTCAGTCTGCAAATTATGCTCTCATTGTGATGTCTAGTATTGGTCTATATGAGTCTATTGGTTTCATGATTTGCATTAATCTAGTTATTCATTCACAGCCTTACAAATTAAAAAAGAACATAATAAATAACCATAAGGATACAAATAAAGCTATAGAAGAAGGTGTAAAATATGATGTAAAAGATGAAGTGAGTGTAGCAGACCTTGAGGTGACAGTCGCTATAATGTGTCAGGTAGAAGAATTAACGAATTTGGATAAAGAACTTTTTGAGAAAAAAGTCAAAGATATTAAGGATGATATTAAGGATTCTAAAGTTTATTTTAAAGAAGAAGTCTTAATGAAACAATTTTTTCAAGAAGCTGCCACTAATTTTAGAAAATTTGGTGAAATATTGATCCTTTCGATTTTTTTCCCTATAGTCTTCATATTTGGTGTAGTATTTTTTGAAGGAGATTTTAAATTAAAAAGAACTAATGTAGATGATTTGGAGATAGATATTATTAATCATAATATTTCTGGTATGAGATCATATCCCTCTGATATTGAATTACTAATCAAATGTTAATATCATTCCCAAAATTTATGTATATAAAATAAATTTTTATTAATTTTGATTTAAGACCGTTTGAGATTATAATGGGACTAAATGCAGTAGGGAGGTTAAATAAACGGATCCGCCTTACTTCACCGACAGCTCACTTAGCCGACATCACGCTGAGTGACAATTTACTAAAAATATATACCTCCAACTAAAAAAACGCCTATGTGATGTCGGCTAAGTGAACTTTCGGTGAAATGATTGTCAGTGAAGTGAGCAGCACCGAAATGGACACTATATTTCATTAAAAATATATATATTATCATTGATCGACTTAACTCCAGAGGGAGTCCCTTGAAGGCGGAGGGAGGAGGGTCATTAATATATGTAATACGTATTCCACTAAAAAAAAAGTCCGTTACTAGTTTAAATTTTAAATAAAAATAAACTTATTTTTGCTTATCGTTCTAATTGTTTATTAAACAATGTCAATTCAAAGTATTGCTAAATTTTTTTAAAGGAAACTTGCTTCGATAAGCGCCTGGAACGGGCAAGAACAAATTCAAGCGAGATATAAGAAGGAAAATGAAAAAAGAATCTTAATATAATATAACTTTTTCTTTTGTGAATACAAATATCGTAACTCGTAACAGATAATTTGAGCAAATGATTTTTTAATACAATTTACAGTCGTACCTGGGTTATAACACCCCTTTTTGTCTCTATATGTTTTTGAATTTTTTTGGAAATATAACTAAGGTTGAGATATAACTCAGTATATAAAACATATAAAAAAAAGAATTTTATTCTGTCTAAATATGGGGATATAACTAAGGTAATACATAAGAGGGGATATAACCCAGTGGAGATATAACCCAGGTACGACTGTATTAGGGATGGGGAGTTTGGTTTGGTTTGGTCTAGTTTGATTAAACTCTGATATATGCAGTTAAAACCAAACCAACCAACTAATAAAGTTTAAATAGCTACATCAGCAAAGTTATTTTTTATAAAATCTACATAGCTCTATCATGTTATATAAATGTTATATAAAATTTTTATTTAGATTTACAAATCCAATGTAGACTTACATAGTTAGAATTTTTATGTATAACTTAATATAATATTTATATAAGTTTTATTTGTTATTTATATAAATATAAAAATTATATAAATTCTATTTATATCTACA